GCCTCCTTAATCAATAAACCTCCACAGTGGCTGTGACCTCTTTGCTACTTAGGTAAACATGTTTGAATTTCAATATATCTGAATCTGTGGGTCTGCAAATGAAATGATGCTTTGCTGGAGGCAGGTTGGTATGACTCGTACTATGAAGGCATAGAAGTTGAGGTTGGCTTCCTATTGCCAATGGGCTTCCCAGGCAGCTCAGTGGTAAAGAATCTGCCTGCCAGTGTAGGAGACGTGGGTTCGATCTTTGGATTTGGAAGATTCCCTGGAGAAGGAAGTGGCAACCCACTCCAGTATTCTTGCCTGGAGAATCCCATGGACAGGGGAGGCTGGCAGGCTCCAGTCCCTGGGGTTGCTAAAGAGTTGGACACGATGTAACAACTAAACAACAACCTTACTGCCCACAAAGTAAATCTAAGCATGCAGTCCTACATACATAGTACTGGAAGTCGCTGTGTGTTTGAAATTTTACTGAAGTGCAGTTGTTTTACGTGTTAGTCTCAGGTGTGCAGCAAAGTGAATTGGCTGTCCATACACGTGCATCCCTCTCACTTGGATTTTCTTCCCATTTAGGCCACCACAGAGCATTGAGTAGAGTTCCCTGTGCTAGGTAGTAGGTTCTTATTAGCAACTGAGCTTTTTCTTCTCAATCGACAAGTTTTTATCTCAAGGACACTGTGAATCATGTCATTGATCTCATTTCCTTCTTTGCCTCTGAAGCTAGACTGCTTAGAGATGACCTGGCGATTTGCTTCTAGCAGGTGTAAGAACCTCATGGCAGGTACTGGGGTAACTACCCCGTTCCTGCTTCATTTTATACCCTCCTTGTCCCACTGCCTGCCCCTGATTTTTGTTCACCCTGAGTGGTCAACTTCATGGCTGAGTCATAGCTTCATTTCCACCCAGCCGCCCCATCACCACTCCTTTCTCGTGTCGTCCAGTCCCACCTCCCCGAATGTTCTGTTCTCCCTGCCGTGGTGGACCCTCCGTTACCTTTGCTCAGAACAGTTCCTCTGTTGTAACTCTCTTCCCCACCCCAACTCTTACTCCTTGTCAGCTTACTCAGCTCAACCAGCAGTCACAATCTCCTCTAGACACCTGATCCCTCAGTGGGTGCAGTTGGCTGATACCGCCTGTGTGGCCCATTGCCCCCGTGCAGACTTCTGTTCCGGCACCAGGAAAAAATTCACTGAACTCACGTGTTCACAAAACAGTCTGTCTCTGCTCAGCTGTGGACAGGGACCAGCTGTTACTGTTCCTTGAATCCTACCATGCCTTGCACAAGATAAAGAAGGAGAAGAATGAATGAAGCAGTGTTAGATGTGGTAGGTGAGTCACCATAAGACTTTACGAATGGTCCCTGGACTGACTTTGCAATACGGAGGTAGTTGCTGGCCTCTGCTAGAGCCCTTCAGAGGAAGGGTGGGCATAGCCTGATTCTGTGAGAGGGAGAAGGAGGCTGGGAGCATGGAAGAGAGAAGTAAGGGTTGGGAGGAGGAACAGAGAGAGCACCTCGGAGAGCGGGCAGAAAGAGGAAGTCAAGCGGAGCGATCAGAGTCTATACTGCCATCTGAGAGTGTGTCTCTAGGGGTAAGCACAGTGCTCCCAGGCTTGGGTGAAGGTGGTTGGTCTCCAGCTGGTGTTCAGTAAGGTGAAATCTTATTATGAGTGAAGTCTTTACTTCACAGCAGCTCTTTCCACCTTACCTCTTCTTTAGTGTTTACTGTGTATCTGCTTTTTGTTAAGAATTTTCTTTTGAGGTAGATTTGTCCCCATCTTATGATTTGTATCCGTTCAATAACAAACACAGTATCCTGTGCAAAGTGATGTTCAATAAATGCTTGAAGTTTTTGCTTCAGTGCGTTTTGGTTTTCCTGACATCTAAATTATAAAGTAACAATGCACCTGAATAATACTAACCAATAAAGGCAAAATTATTTTATTTGGCACTTGAATTTTTTTTTTTCACATGAAACAAATAGAAATATGTAGAAGTGAACAAACCACCCCTGTCTACCCTCCAAGACCACTATCACCGATTTGGTCCGGGTTGTGCTCATGCTGCTTCCTCTGAAAACTCCTCTCTGAGCACAACATTCATTGTTTTGAGACTTACCTGCCATACCATTGTAGACAGCTAAGGTAAGGGGGGCTGGTGCCCAAAGGAAATGAACCGAACTGGGTATGACTTTCTTGACGTAAGAGAAGCCATGCTGGGCCTAAGCGGTTTTGTGATCTAAAGTGAAAGTGAAAGTCGCTTGGTGTGTCCGACTCCGTGACCCCATGGACTGTATAGTCCATGGGATTATCTAGGCAAGAATACTGGAGTGGGTAGCCGTTCCCTTCTCCAGGGGATCTTCCCAACCCAGAAATTGAACCCAGGTCTCCCGCATTGCAGGCGGATTCTTTACCAGCTGAGCCCCAGGGGAAGAGCTAAGCCTGGGCAAAATGCTTGCCCTTGAGCAGGTCTCAGCAATTAATGATCAAAGGGAACAAAACAGAACTGTTTATCAGGTAAGAGAAGTTACATACAGTAGCAAAGTTAATAAATCAGTTGTAAAGACTCCCAGTTCTAAGCCAGAAAGATAAAGACCAATACAGTATACTAACACATATATATGGAATTTAGAAAGATGGTAACGATAACCCTATATGCAAGACAGAAAAAGAGACGCAGATGTACAGAACAGACTTTTGGATTCTGTGGGAGAAGGCGAGGGTGGGATGTTTCGAGAGAACAACATCGAAACATGTATATTATCAAGGGTGAAACAGATCACTAGCCCAGGTTGGATGTATGAGACAAGTGCTCAGGGCTGGTGCACTGGGAAGACCCAGAGGGATCGGGTGGAGAGGGAGATGGGAGGGGGGATCGGGATGGGGAATACGTGTAAATCCATGTCTGATTCATGTCAATGTATGGCAAAAACCAGTACAATATTGTAAAGTAATTAGCCTCCAACTAATAAAAATAAATGGAAAAAAAAAAAGACTCCCAGTTCTGTTTTCAAAGTAAACATGAGCCTGAAGCACTTTGAGCTCTTTTATAGAATTCCAACACCCCTCCCTCTGCCTTGAGCCCTCAACCGCAAGATCAACTGGAACCTAAGGAAAGATGCTCTTGGCCTTTTCTGACCCTCATAACTTCAGTCAGCTGAAGCTTGGTCTCTTGTCAACCTTTGCCCCAGTTCTGTCTCTTTCTGCTTGACAGCCACTGAGAGTTGAACCCAATTTTGGGGAGATGCCACCTCTCCTGTATCCTTTGCCTGCCCCAGCAAATGGACTATTCCCCTCTTGGCCTCACTGTGCCTAGGACAAACTTCTGTCACTTCACTGTTCTCATTTGGACAGATAACATGTTTACCTGAACCAGACTGATTTTTCTTTAAAGCAGAATAAAATTAAATTTTTTTTGCTTGCATTTTAGAGTTGTAAAATGGTAGCCTGATTTTTTTTGTTGTTTTAGCATTATGTTAAAAGTATTTTTCTATTTTGTTACAATTTTAGCAGCTGCTTATTTCATCAAAGGAATGACTGTCTCCTGTCACTGGCTATGCAGGTTTTCAGGGTTTTGCAATAAAATGTTACTACCTGCCAAAATTGACAATGAAAAAGAAATGTCCCTTAAACTTTACATTAAAATATTTTTCATTGCTATAAGGTGTATGTAAGGACAAAGCCATATTTACAGAAAATAAAGATAACTTCCCTAGTACTGAGTTTTTTGGGCAGATAACTTGCAGCATTCAGAGGATCCAGAGTTCAGGGTGTGGTGTGCAGCTGCAGCTGTCCAGGAGTTGTTTCTAATCAACTCTAATGTGATCTAAAGAAGGGCCCATGATTTGGGCTGAATTGCAGAATGCAGTGGTGGGAAAAGAAAGTACTATTTCCTGAGCACCATAATACATACTAGGCAGATGGGTGAAGCTTTTATTTAAATAGGGAGTTTGCTTGCATGTATGTAGGAGGACTTCCCTAGAGCAGAGGACAGTTGTGTGTACGGTCATCTGCTGAAGGATAGTTGCACGTTATCTGGAATTTACTTATTAATATAAACGTAGGCATCTTTTAAAGTCTCTTGGAGATTGAGTGACTGCTACTTTGAACATTATGCAGAACATTATATATATATATGCATATATATATGTTATATTTATATATATGCATATATATATGTTATATTTATATATATGCAGAACGTTAAAGAGTCAGAAAACCCAACTAATAAACCAGGAGTGCGTCAGCACAGTCGTTAACCCCATAGGCCTCCTTCCTCATGCCCAGAGCACCCTGGAGATGCTGGAAGGAAAGGAAGGGCGTGCATATGCCTGAAAACTATACTGTATTGTATGAAAAGAAGTTGTCCTGCTATTCCCAATCAGGCAGATGGCTCCACACTCAATACATAGGCAGTTGGGAATGTGGCGTTTTCATTCCTAAAAACATCTGCCTCATAGTTAGATTCTCTATGGCTACTTCAGGCTGTTGCTCTTGAGAATTTAAGTAATATAAAAACCAGAAGTGTTTTTTTAAGTATTTAAAAATTACCTTTGCACCTCTAGTATCATATGAAATGTACACTTTCCCCAAGTACAGCCAACTGTAACTTTTTCTTTATATATGAATTTTTAAAAAATGCTTTTTCAAAGTTATGTTCAAACTGCTTTGAAAAGGGAGGGGAAAAAACAACTTTTTTTAGGTGGGACACCACTGAATACAGTTTCCTAAAGAATTAGGTAATCTTTGTAAAGTCTCTTTTAATGTATGAAATCTGTTTCATTGTAAGTTTATATAATCCTGTATCCGTTTTCTAAATCCCCTTTCGCCTTACTGGGTGCAGGTTCTCTGAAATCCCTGAGGAGGAGGTAACGGCTGGATTGTTGAAGGACAAAGTAGGCTGCTTAAGTTTCAAAGCCTGATGCATGAAGGGAGGGAATCCATTGTTACGGCAGCCTCTCACCAAAGCCCAGTTCACTGACTGTGAACCTGCTCTGCCACAGATTCCGAGTCCGAAGGGTCCCTGAGCAGGCTGGAAGCAGTGACGGCGCACTCCTTTGACGAGGAAGCAGACCCCCCGAGCAGCAGACAGCACAGCATGTCCGAGGGCAAGGACTGTGGTGGTGGAGACGCGCTCTCCAATGGCATCAAAAAGCACAGGTAGGAGGGCCTGGCTCAGCCAGCACTGCCGCCTCTGTCCTGAGTGCATTTGGGCTGTAAACCAAAGTGTGTGGCTGTCTCCTCTTTCTTTTGCTTTTTTCTCTCTGCTGAACATTTATATTGCTCTAGCACCTCAAGGAAAGGCTTAAATACTTTGTCCATTTACAGAAAGAACATCATCAGTTGTCTTTGCAGGAACTAAGCGCAAAACATGGTTTTTGGCTCCCATGATTTCAGGGGCCCGTAAATCCTTCAACTGGCTATTTAGAAGGGCTCTTCAGAGCTCCCTATTGAAAGTGATGCTGGCTTCCTTTTTTCGAGCATGCATCTTTTATAACTCTGCCTCTCAATGCTATTTTAGTTTCTTGTTATTTGATCTTCGTGTTGGTTTTATTAAGAATGGATGGTAATATTGCCTGCTTATTGAAACAGTTTAGTTACATTTAAAGAAAGACTTTTATTAAGACCTGGGGTTTGTTGAACATAGCCCTTTAATACTGTCTAATAACATTAGTGTTGTTTTTCTTACTCCCTTGATGATTTAGTCCTAGAGGTTGTCTCAGTTTAATGAGGTGTCACAGACACTCGAGTTGTCTGGTTTCACACAAGTTTATAGGCGCAGTGCCTTGTGTATATGCTGGTATTCATGGGGTACAATATTTTATCAAATTGTCAGTGAAGACTATATTCTGTTGTCATTGTAAAAAGCACTTTTTTTTTAGTTATTAATTTCTACCTGATAGTTTTTTACTGTTTAATATTTATAGATTTGTATAGCTTTAACTTCATTTCTGTATAGGATTCTGGCTACCATTGGTCTCAACTCTTGTTGTACTGAAAAATGGTACACAGCACTTTTGATGTGTATGTATCTGCCCCCTGTTAACGAGGAATGTTTTTTCTTTGTACTTATTTGAAAAAAATCAGTGAGTTTTAGAAAACAAACCAGAGTGTTCTTCTGTGCAGTTAGGGTATCCTCTCAGCGTGCGCGCTGATGGCCGTCTTTTGATGGCGGTTATCATGGCAGCTGTTGTCGTGAGCCGTGAGGGCCCGTGTCCTCTCCTTTGTGGTCTGGGACTCGGCTGGGCAGGCCATAAAGCACCTCAGTGGAAACCCAGCAGGTCTCAGTTTCCTGGGCTCTAGAGAGAAGACAGCCTTTAACTGTTCAACATACATCATGACGGTCTAGTGACAACACAGGAGAAATCTTTGGAATGTTCCAAGTACACAAGTAGTTGATGGAATTGTTAAGATATCGGAAGGAACACTGTGCTTATTAGATGCTGTCAGAGCCTGTGACTGAAGGGAGGATTTCTTGGCTTTTCAAAAGCCCAGGAGCCTGTTTGTGTGTGTGCCGTAATGCATCATAACGAGTTATTTTGCATCTGACAGCAATTCATTATATTAATACTATGTTCACATAGCCTGTGTTGTCTCTTATTAGTCCAACCCATAATGGCACAGATGTGGAAGTCTTTCCCCTTAAACCCCTTCCGCCGCCCCATCTCCTGCTGTGCTTGGAATCACCTTATCTATTTCATGTTCTTAGCCAACAGAAGTACTTAGGCTTTCCTTTCTGTAGTATGGATTATGGAAACAACACGTTCCCCCCAAATATAATATATGAAGCCACTGCAGGCCCTATTCCTGTTCCTCTCTGGGATGTCAGCATGGAGTGCCTAGGAGAGGGCCCGCCACAGGGGACGCACTCGGTGTAAATGACCTCTTACCTCTGTTTACTCTCGTTCTCCTCGAAAACCATCTGCGTAACTCTGGAGAACCTCTGCCCTCTTGTTTCCTTTCCCACCCCGTTATCACAGGATGACATCATGGAGTGCAGTTTGAAAAATCTCTGACCCAGTGAATCATAAGCTGTAAGGCCTGTGTCGTGGTCATTTAATGTAAAACAAGGTATGCCAGACTCACTGAGTTTATTTCTATGATAATTAAAATAGAGATATTATGGATCTTTACTCCATCCTACGTGATGATTACCATGAAAATAATTCATCTGTTAACTAGGTAAATTAAGTCATCTCTTAAATAAAAATTTGGACTAAATGAACTGAGTTCTCCTCTCTGAAAGTCTTGTGATTGCTAACTGAAATCTTGAAAACATGGTTTTTCTACCATATTGAAGTTTAGGAAACTTCTACAATGTCTTTTGATACGATTAGACTTGGGGGAAAAAAGTATTTTGTGTTTTTTAATTCACTCTGAATTACTGATGGGCTGTGTACTCTGCTGGGCATTGATCTTGTCTGTGGTTCTGTGCATGTCTTTGGGTTTTCAGGTTAGTTGTAGAGAAATATCAGCAGAAAGGATCAGAGATTGATTTAAGACCTAGAACCAAAAATACTGCGGAGATGGAAAACATACAAAATAAATGCTTTGTTTTGATGGCACTTTCTTTTTTCCAGAAGATACATTGACTTGCCTTGTGGAAGGTTAGCTTTCACCATCCTGGTCAGGTTTATGTTGATAGGGCTTCTTGTCATCTCGGTGGTCTGTGTTCTGTGGGATCAGTTCTCTAGTCTTGAGCCTAATTTAGTACACTTATTCTGAGCTCTCCTCTTTTAACTTTTTAGGAGTTTGACCTAAGTTGGCATAATTGGTAAAGATACTGATTTATCTAATCTGGATATATATAATATAAAAGATACTAATGTAGAACAGGTTAGTAAGAATCTGAAATATTGGATTCATGTTACGATGCTTTAAATGGTATTCCCAGTATTACTAGATTAAAAGATAAAAACCTATGGTCATCCTAATAAAGAAAAAACATTCAATGAAATTAGTCACTCATGATTAATAAGCATTAACAAATTACAAATGGAAGAGAACTCCTTTAATCTGGTTAAAAGTTGGAACAAATAAGTACTTGATAATGAACTATGAAAAACAGTTCTTCTAATTTCAGGAATAAGACAAGGATGCCTGCCATCACCTTTTCTGTGCATCATTGATTGGAGGCCATAGCTAGAGACATAACACAGCCCCCAGATATAGAAATAAACAGGACCATAGATGTCTACAGACAAATCATTATAGTTACTATGAAAGTTTGGCAAGGTTGCTTTGCTACAAAGTCAGCTAACTATTAATATATTTCTGTGCACCATCAACAGAAACTGCAGTTAAAACTGGGGGGTGGGGTTGATTTTAGAGTATTTATTAAAAAGTCACTTACTTTGAAATAAATACTGAAAGATATAAAACTTATCAAGAAGAAAAAGTCATTGCCATAAGTTTGATTTACCAAATTGATCTATAGACTCAAACATGCTTTTATTTAAAGTTGCACTTTACCTTGGAAGTTGAGAAATGGATTCTGAGCTATATCTTTGAGCTCAGAGGGCTTTCAGGAGCCAAGATACTGCTCAAGAACCTGGTTTGAGGGAGGGAAGGCATTTGCCAGACTAAATGCCAGGTTGATTACAAATCTTTAGTGCAGAATTGTCCTGCAGGCAAGACTGATCTGAAGAAGTAAAAGGTCCGAAGACCCAGACATAGAAGGAAACCTGGTATATGTAACAGAGGCAGCATTGCATATCGGGGAGGGAAAACATGGACTGTTAGGTCAGTGCTGCTGGGAGAATCATTCAATACAGAAAAAAAAAAGGGAAATGGCCCTCTGCTTCACAAATATAATTTAAATTCTAGATGAACCAAACACAAATCTGTAAGACCATAACTTAATAAACTTTTCATAAGAAAATGTAAAAATACCTTTGCAATTTTAAACTACAGAAGGGTTTCTTACAACAGAAATGTGATAGGAACAAAGTTTTATTTGACTCTAATTAACATACTTGTTCTTGATGTGTTTACCTGAATAAAAGCCTTGCATTCTTTCATAAATGTGGCCAAGAATCTTAAATGTTTAGTTTGATGAAATGGTAGATTCAGACTCCAGACAATCCCTTGGTTTACCCTTGGTTTATCCTTCATGACTGCTTTAGAGTTATTAGGTGACTGAATAACATCTGTTTTCTGTGTGTGAAGAATATCCTGACATGTTGAAGTCAAACAAAAAGGTTGAGAATATGAGCTAAGACAGTCTGCCAAGAAGTAGGGTTATACTGAGAAAATCTTGTTAGTTGTGAATAAAAATTATTCAACTTCCGATACATTTTGTCAGTAGTGCAAGCCCACCTGGACTTCCCTGGTGGCTCAGCAGTAAAGAATCTACCTGCCAAAGCCGGAGATGTGGGTTGAGTCCTTGGACTGGGGAGATCCCCTGGAGAAGGAAATGGCCACCCCGTTCCAGTGTTCTTGCCTGAAAAATCCCATGGACAGAGGAGTCTGGTGGGCTACAGTCCAAGGGGTTGCAAAGAGCGAGGCATTACTGAGCATACACACACACACATAGAGCAGGCAAGTCAGCCCGCTCAGAGGCCCTCTGGTAATCTGGGCAGAAAAACACCCTTGTCTATCAGGAAGTATTTTGGGTAGCTCCTTGTTGTCATGTAGTGACCAGGGGTCTAGAGACACCTAAGGACCTAGGGGTAAGAGCCTTGCCCAGAATTAGCCAGATTTGGGGTAGTGCCTCGGGCTTCCCAGCTGGCACTAGTGGTAAAGAACTTGCCTGCCAATGCAGGAGACACAAGAGACTCAGGTTCCATCCCTGGGTCGGGAAGATCCCCTGGAGGAGGGCTTGGCGACCCACTCCAGTGTTCCTGCCTGGGAAACTCCATGGACAGAGGAACCTGGTGGGCTACAGTCCAGTATTCTTGCCTGGGAAATTCCATGGACAGAGGAGCCTGGTGCACTACGGTCCATAAGGTCACAAAGAGTCAGACACGACTGAAGAATGCAGGTTCCGGAGACACCGTGTTCTATGCTCTCACGTTACTCCCTGACTCAGAGTAGTAGTTTGCTCTGGAAAGCAGAGGACTGTAATTAAAGAAAAAAGAGGTACTCCTAGAAGCTCATGCAGCTCTCCTGTGGGGCCTCGCTCATTAACAAACCAGACCCCAGCCTGTGTCACCAGCCCG